AATAAGGGTGACAAACGAGCACACAGTTCACATGGTGATAAGGGGATGCTGTGGCCCATAGACATCTTCATCTATTCTCAGTTAAAATTAAAATATAGATACGATGTCGCCCCTGAGGACTAAAATGGAATGCCTAACATCTAGTAAAAAGGGTCACCGATTCTCTACCTCACCATATGAAACACAGCAGCATTAAGCTACTATTTTACGCTGGTATTCTGTGAGAACGTGGCCCGTACGTAACGTAGGTGCAGCGTGGCTCTACCATTATAAAGTACTACTTAAATCACGAAAACTATTCGAGACTAATTTTACTTCATCCAGTGTAATGGTATCAAGAAACGCCGTAACACAATGCACAATAAGGTTGTTGTATTGTCCATAATAAGGCATAATGTATCCAATATATATTCGAGGGTTGCTAGAGGGGTTTCTGTGGGTTGATTCATAGGGGTGTTTAACAAGTACAAAAAGCGCAAACCAATACTATCCACTGTTTTGTAGTTATTTAGGAAAATAAAATAAACACACCAAGGATGTTACTGGAATTACGGCAATTTTTCAAAACTGTAAGTTAACTGGTAAAAAACGCTTATTAAAGGTATCAAGACCGCCCTTTGTATTGTTTTTGATAAAAGTAATATAGTACGTTAGGGTAATATGGTCATCTGGTTACCTAATATGGTCACTTTCTGATAACTCAAAAACTACAGCCACATTTGCATAGATGGCTTTGCATAGATGGGATGGATACGACAGCTCTTCATCCAGTGTTATCATCTGCAAGGGACTACTATTGTTTATCCCTGCAGGTTTCGGGCCTCGGGGTGTCCCCCATTACCCGGGTAATCCTCACAGCCCATTTCTGTGGACCGGTCTTGGGAGCCGTACAAGGACGGCATTGTAGGTATTCTTCGTTGGCGTATTGCGCGCCACCAGGTATGTGCTTCCGGAGGGTCAATAGTCTCGAAGCCCCGCGGAGTCCCGCGGACAGGGAGTTAACAGCAGCACTCCGGGCCTCAAGTGCTCCTCCCTGGCTCTAGGCTGGTGTTGTTGGCCTGTGAATTTCTAGGCAGAAATTGGCATATCTCGCGCCTCTGGGAAGGGATCTGCCGAAGGGTCAGCAACCTCCAGGTCCCGCGGAGACGCATCTCGACGCGGAGCCGAAGTCACCAACAGGCGCACGCTCTCCTAGCAGCACGCCGGGCCTTCGGAGTTCGCTTCCCAGCATGGTAGATTAAACGCAGCGTTGGGTATGTAACATCCCGGGCGAGGGCAGGGGCGTCCTCGAGGCTTGACGGAAGCCGAGTTGGCCCCACAGCACGTGCACCCACTGCGAAGCGGGAGCCGACGACCGAAGGACGTGACCGCCTGCTAGCGCAGTCCGGACGCGACTCACAGTAATATAGTACGTTAGGGTAATATGGTCATCTGGTTACCTAATATGGTCACTTTCTGATAACTCAAAAACTACAGCCTTATTTACATAGATGGCTTTGTGATACGACAGCTCTTCATCAGTCATTCAAATAATAAAGGGTCAAAAGTGCGGTACTTTATCGACGCCATTTTGACAGTTGATATTATAGTAAATAATTGTATGGGGTAGTGTAATTAGTTTTTTTTTTTTGGGTAGATTTTCGAAATGTTCCTAATATTGCCAAAGCTTGTTTGCAATTTTTTTCTTAAATTAGTTACAGTACACGACTTTGTATTTTTGTCTCTGTCCTCCTAGTTTTGATACAGGGCGGTAAAGCATAAGGTGACGATATATTACCATCACGTACCTTATAACAAATATTTATACATAATTATAATTATAAGCAGTGTAGAGGCGTCGTCCGAGTTTCAATCTCCCTATATAATCCCTTAGGTGTCGTAAGAGGCAACAGAGATAAACTGAAACAGGAAAGGGCAGAGTGCACTGTAGTTGCCAACTCGCCGGCCAAGCTTGGCAACTAAGAAGAAGGCCTATGTTAGAATATATAATCGTTGCTGTGTCGATAAGTGATCGTATAATATTGCTGAAAAGTTTGGAAGCGTAACATCTCCTTGCCGTCATGGATGCCTAGTACTGAAATTAAAAAATATTTTTTTATCTTTAGCGGAGAGGACCTAAGTGAAGGTTATTCTCGAAATTACTCTTGGTTGTTCCTGTGTAGGCGTAGGTAAGGCGCTAGACTCAACAATGATATGAACTAGGCAAAACCGTGTCAAAGTGAAGTGTGAAAATAATGTTAGAAAGAAGTTGTAACAAATAAAATATATAAATGAGCTTACTGTATGTGAAGTTTAAAGGTACGGACAGACGTGCTCATTACTAGCACAAAAGCATGCTTTTATTGAGCAAGTGCTCATTAAAAGTAGCACGTGTGTCACAACATTGCTAGTAATGAACATGCTTATATTGAGCATGCTCAAAATCAACCGACATTTGACTTTCGAGCATGCTACCTGAGGATCGCGAGAGACGCGCGTCAATTTAAAATAAAAAAAACCCTCGACTTATTTTATTAAGTTCTGTACGGATAGCACTGTCACTATACCTTTGTACATTCATTTCGGCCGAGAGACTGGTGCCATATAGGACGTCTCATGCTTTAAGCGTGCTTATTGCTGGCAAATGTGAACAGTTGCTCTTTTTAAGCAAGCTCATGGCATGTTTTTGAGCACGTCTGTACGTACCATAGAGTGGTATGCTTGGGCTTAGTTTTTCTTTTATTAGTTACAGGATCTCAAACAGGTGTCTGTACCCAGCTTCCTTCTCTGTTAAAATCAGGATCTTTTTTAAATTTCACTAGCCACGCATGAACTAATCTGATGGAATGGGGGGGGGGGGTCGGATATGTTCACAAATAGCAGACTTCCCGGAGCGTTGGAGGTGCAATAACATCAGGATAAATAGTTTTATTCAATGTAATCTGCCCGTAAATGTAAGAAATCTTATTTCTATTCAAAGTAATTTTTTGTGGAGAACAGCTTATAAATAAAAGTAAAAGAAAAAAAAAGATAAGAAACGGCAAGGAACTATAGAATCCTTTATTTTATTTTAAAATTACATGTTACAATTTAATTTACAACTTTAATAAAATCAATGCAATGTCTATATGTTTTAACAATGTATCAGTAGCTAAGGAAATTGCAAAGTAAGTTATTTCGACATATCAGTCCCAAATTTTCGATAGTACCGCTTTTTGTAACTAAATTTCGGAAAAATATTTGTGGACGGCAGCTTGCAAGTCGAGAGCATAATTATAGGCTCACAAAACAAAAACAACTCGATGCATTCATCCCTGGTGTGGGGGGCGACGCGCGGGCATGTCCTGTCCAATTTAGACGCAATTTGTCAACGACCCTCCGATGAGGGCTCACAATACAATCAAGGACTCCTCTCATCTCGTATTTGTTTTTAATGGTATGATTATTTTATTATACTTGATAACATTGATAAAAAAAACAATGGCATTTCAACTTATGATTTATGTAATACAAAATATTTTTAAAAATTTTGTTATATACTTTTCTAAAAGTATGTACTTTTTTTAAAAGAATTAAAGGAAATATAGCATTATATAGTCTGCTTGTTCTTATGTGGATGTAGTGGTACACGGACATCTAAAATTATCCTCTATCAAGAATCAAGATTAAGAGAAGAATTTCCTTTAAGTAGGAAATTAGTTACCACTGCTCATAGACTCAGATCTGGACACATTCCTTGTAAGAAATTTGTCTTGGTGATAAGAAAAACAACTTCGCCCAATTATGAAGACTTTAGAGTTATAGATCTTCACCTTTTTATTGATGGAATATAATCGATTTGAGTTTACTAGAAATAATTTAATAAGGGTCTCGAATTTGAACAGAACTGTTGTAGGTACATATCATAATATTTTATCCCAATCAAATGGCGACGATGCGAAAGTTCTGTTTGAATCCATGGCCCACGTCGTATAATAATTAATGTTGTATGAGTTGGTGATGTAGGGGTACGATGGGACTGGCATATGCTAAGCGGTAAAAGTCCCTCAAATGTTTTTAGAATAAAATTAAAAAAATTATTAAGATGTAGATGCACCCCTGAAGACTAAGATCGAATGATAGGGCACTACACGGCATCCGTCACTACAAGGCACTGTTGATTTATATTTTAAGCATATTATCATTTTTCTCACGGCGATTTGTTATTCATTATCTTCGTAGCATATGCACATACAGCCCAAAATTCCCCGTTATTTATTGTAACAGATAGAGTAGATGTAACCGAGATACACCACGCACATGAGCTGAACGAATTAGTGTTGCGCTACACTAATGGATAACAGTCACGCTAGTGGGATGGTGTGAATACGTCACGTGTTACAATCACACCATTGTTGGGATCACTTAGATGATTTATTTGGCAGGTGTGCGGCTGCAGAGTAGGAGTATTAGGAGTATCTTAAATATAGTTTCTATGTCTTTATTTATTTTTTAAACGAGCTCACAGTCCTACTGATGATAAGAGGATGCTGTGTCCCACAGACATCTATCCTCGATTAAGAATCAAAATGGAGATGCGTTCCCACCCCCGAAGATTAAGATGGAATGCGTCGTTTTAAGAAAAAAAGCGTATCCAAATCTCATCATTCGAAAAAGAGCAGCACCATGCATTTATTTTACGCTGGTATTCTTTGATAGCGTATGTGAACATACGTTTCGTGTGTGAGTATAGACAACTGAAGACCCTTTCGCTGGATACGAGACATTCCATCGTAGTCCCCAGGGTTGTCAACGCATTTGCATTTTAATTCATAATCGAGGACAAAATTTAGATGTCTATGGGTCATACCATCCACTTATCATTAGGTGGCCTGTGTGCTTGTTTGTTACCCCTAGTCTATATTAAAAAAAAAAAACATAAAAAAAAACCTTCTTGGCGAAATCTGTATATCAAACAAACAGTTGTCGTCGGGCAAAACTTTGTACCAGCGAAATGCCAAAAGCCCGTGCACGATAAGCACCTGATGGCTGTACCCTCGTCCTGGAGGTCGTCTAGCACAACCGCGATCACTATCGTGCTCGTAAATAAGCGGCGGCCTGACAAGTGCGCCCATTAGACGTGGAGGCGACCCGGCGAAAAGACATACAACTTAGGTACCGTTTGCAAAAAAATTGTTCCTAACATTTAATTTAAAAAAATAGGGTCGTATTCATTGATATACAAATTGTAATTCAGATGCTCAGCCTTTACAGGCCGTAGACTCGATTCCCGCACGAAACCAAATCTTGGTTTTTATGTATGTAAAACCATTAAAAATACTAATATGGATGGAATTTTTTTTAATACACAAAGGCGGAAGGCGGATATAAACAAGCATACACGCACATACACACTAATAGAACGAGCTCATGTGCTAATGAAAGAATTATATAATATCACAAGACTAGATTGTGATGGTGGTGATGGCTCACAATTACCATAACTCCCTTCGACCGTGTGCCCGAAAACTAGTGAACTAGAAACCTAAACCCCTGTCAACAATTGCCTCGTGCTATTGCCTTAACTTTTTAGTATTGTAAAATTTATTTTTAAATAGCAAGAAAGTGACGTTTATTTATTTTTTAATTTTGTTCATATTTTAATCAGTGTTTCTGCAGACGCTACCGCAAGGTGTCCCCGCGTAGGAAATGTAAATGATTTTGAAATTGTCAACCGAGCATTCGGGTTCACGTACATCGGGAACGAATGCGTCCCTATCAACGATAATAGATTATCCCCGAGTCCAAAAGGTGTCGAATTCATTACGATCAATTAAGCAAGTGTTCTCTGTTATATCGCCCTTTTACGGTGCCTATTAATGAGTTTTTGGAACTGCTGCTGATGCTTATTAAATTAAAATGATAAGGAACGAATATTTTTCTAGTGGATTGAAGCTATGATCTAATTAATTAGACGTATTCTGCGCCTTACAAGTAGGGATGCTAGATGTGTTTAAAGAAAAAACCGGACAAGTTTTTATTTGTTTCCATTTCTTAAAAAAATGTACTTTAATACAAAAAAAAAAACAAAAATAAAAAAGTGAACTTAATTGTACTTTTGTAATGTATTTTTTGTACTGTAAACTTACTTACTAAACTACAGCCATTCTACTTTTTTATATTTTAATAAAGTATTATTGCCTGAGATAGTATCTTTAAATTCAGTGCAACTAACATAATATATTTAAAAAACGCACAGTTAACTTTATACAGTTTGTACTGCGAGACGATTTCTTTCATCGGTCCATACATTTCCCTTGACGCTGAAGATTCTTTTTTTTTCCATAGAATAATATTACATTGTATTGGAAAATTAATTACACAAAATCAAAAATAACGTTTACATGCAATTGACTTAAATAAAACTAAAATCGAATAAAGTTTTAATATCATTTGACAATCATTCTATATACTTATATACATTTAATACTTCTCATGTCATAATTAAAAAGCAGTACATAAACAAAAAAAAAATTACATTCATTAAGTTTATTTTTGTCATTTAGGTATTCGTCAACTGAGTAGTAGCTTTTCTTAATTAATAATGATTTTAGTTTATTTTGGAATTTTCGGTAGTAATAAATAACTTTAAATGAGATAGGTAAAGAATTAAATAGTGCAATGGCTTGATGCCTTGTGCTGTGGCGTACAACATTCAAAGTTGGTGTAATTGAAGTTTATAAATCTTCTCGACGTGTCATTTCTCTCTTTTTCCTTTCTTTGTTTGTTTCATATTTGTAAAAATGTTTTACTAAGTATGTAAGTGAAACTAAGATGTACAGAGAGGGAACCGTAAGTATGCGAAGTTTTCGAAAATGTTCTTTACACGACTCAATTTCATCATCATCATCATCATCATTACAGCCCTTCACAAGTCCACTGCTGAACATAGGCCTCCCCCAAGTAATGCCACAAAGCACGGTCCTGAGCCACCTGCATCCATCGACTTCCTGCATATCTTACCAGGTCGTCACTCCATCTAGTGGGGGGTCGCCCTACGCTACGCCTACCGGTACGAGGCTGCCACTCGAGAACCTTTCTTCCCCATCGGTTATCGGTTCTTCGAGCTATATGGCCGGCCCATTGCCACTTCAGCTTACTAATACATTGGGCTATGTCGGTCACTCTGGTTTTACTGCGGATATCCTCATTTCTGAGTCTATCACGCAGAGAAACTCCGAGCATAGCCCTCTCCATAGCTCGCTGAGCGAACTTGAGCGTCCTCATACGGCCAGCAGTGAAGGACCACGTCTCAGATCCGTAAGTCATCACTGGCAACACGCACTGGTTGTACAATCTAGTTTTTAGAGATTTTTAGAGGTTTTTAGAGATACCTGACGAGAAGATATGTCGTAATTTCCCGAACGCTGCCCAGCCGAGTTGAATCCGTCGATTGATCTCTCGGTCGAAGTTGGACTTACCTAGTCGGACTATTTGTCTCAGGTAAACGTACTCGTCAACAACTTCGAGCATAGTGCTCCCAACAACTACCGGCATAGGTGTGACATGGACATTAAACATAATCTTTGTTTTGTCCATGTTCATCTTAAGACCTATCCGTTGGGAGGCACTATTGAGGTCATTGAGCATAGTGCTTAAGTCCTCCAGCGATTCTGCCATAAGGACTATATCGTCGGCAAATCGAAGGTGAGTGATGTACTCGCCATTGATGTTAATACCGTATCCTTTCCAGTCCAGTAGTTTGAAAACGTCTTCCAATGCAGCGGTCAAGAGTTTCGGGGATATAAATTCACCCTGTCTTACACCTCTCTGCAGTTGGATAGGTTTCGAGCTCTGGTTCTGTACTCGGATGTCCATCGTAGCCCTACTGTACAAACACTTCAGCACTTCGATATACCGACAGTCAACTTGGCACCGCTGAAGGGACTGTAGCACCGCCCAAATTTCGACGGAATCAAAGGCTTTCCAATAGTCCACATACGCCAGGCAAAGTGGCAGATTGTACTCTTCAGTCTTCTGTACAATCTGCCGCAGGGTATGTATGTGGTTTATGGTACTGAAGCCTTTTCGGAAACCAGCTTGTTCGGGAGGCTGGAAGTCGTCGAGTCTGCGTGCGAGACGATTCGTAACGACTCTCGAAAACAGCACGTAGACGCGGCTCAGAAGAGAAATCGGTCTGTAGTTCTTCAAGAGAGCGTTGTCGCCTTTCTTAAAGAACAAGACCACCGCACTTCTGCTCCACGCCTCTGGAGTAGTGCCACCATGGAGGACTGAATTGAAGAGCTTCTGAAGGACTTCAAGTACCGGTGTTCCACCCGCTTTCAGAAGCTCCGCTGTAATTCCATCCTCGCCTGGGGCCCTGCCGTTTTTAAGGTGCTCGAGAGCCATTCTAATCTCGCTTAGACTGACGTCCGGGATATCATCGGAATAGTGTCGGATAAGACTTGCTCTTGGATCGTTACTCACACTTGCGTGTGGCTCCAACGATGATGTGTACAGCTGTCCATAGAACCTCTCAATCTCACTCAAAATCTCAGGTGTCCCGGAAACGATGCTGCCACACTCAGTCTTCAGCTTTGACAGTTGGCTCTTACTGGCAGACAGATCTCTGGCTAAGACTTTGGAGCCCTGGTTCCGCTCGATCGCTTCTTTAATACGAGCAGTATTAAAGTTGCGTAAGTCTCGCCGCATGCATTTGGAGATCCGTCTGTTCAGTTGCCTGTATGCAGTCAAATCTGTTGACGATTGCAGCCTCATCTCCCGTCTAACAACCATGAGATTAAGAGTGTGATCGGAGAGTTTTTGTATTCTTCTGCGGCGGGTCTTGCAGAAGTTAGCTCCGACCGCAAGGACAGTTTCCACGGGCTTGTTATTCATATCGTCCACTGCATTGCAATCTTGTAGGCACTGAAAGCGGTTACGTAACTCGAGCTGAAAGTTTTCCGGATTCTGGATTAGAGCACGAGAGGGACGGAGCGTTGACTTCATTAGACGAGACCTCTTCAACTTAACGTTTATGTTCAGTGTGCCTCTAACCATTCGGTGATCGCTGCCAGTTTTTACCCTTGCGATCACTGAGACATCACTTAACCGTAAGCGTCTGGTCGTAATAATGAAGTCAATCTCATTTTTTGTCGAACCGTCGGGGCTCGACCAGGTCCACTTCCTGTGGGGCCGCTTCTGGAAGAAAGAGTTCATCATAAAGAGTCCCTCTTTCTCCATAAAGTCGGCTAGCTGCTGGCCCCTTCGGTTCCGTTGCCCTACTCCAAATTTCCCTAACTTCAGCTCACCGTTTTCTCTTGTGCCTAGTTTTGCGTTGAAGTCTCCCATCAACACCGTGTAGTGGGTTTTGGAGGAATGCATGGCTTTGGAAATATCCTCATACTAATGATTTCTTATATTTACGCGAACATTGCACATGATTAAAACTACTTTTACGGATTTTATCGCGTTTATTTTTTACTTTTTATTTTTAATTCCCGACGTTTCGGGCGCTTTCCAGCACCCATGGTCACGGGGGACTGAGATGACTGACGTCCCGATGTCATTGTTAAACCCGGAGTACCTTCAGCTTTTTTAATTATTGTTTATGGTCCGATCTATGCAAAATAAACTGACTATGTCCTGAGGTCTTGCAGTGGTATGCTTGGGTTTAGTTTTAATTTTATTGATTATAGGATCCCAAGCAGGTGGTAGTACCCAGCCTCCTTCTCTATTGAAATTAGGATGTTTTTTAATTTCAATAGCCTCACGTATCATCCTTGGTAGGAATCGGTGTTCTTTCGCGAGGATTGATAGACCAAAAATCCTACGCGACCCTCGTCGACACACTCCCAATCTTTACAACGTTGTTGACAAGAGACTTGTGGACGATAAATCCGACACCTCCTTGGGACAGATAGTCGCCCTCCCGGTGATAGAACAAGTTGCCGGATTCGAGAATCACCGTGTCCTCCCTCTCTCATCGGACCTCGGATAATCCTATAATATTCCAGCGCAACTTGTCTATCTCTTCTTCCAGCTCCAGGATCTTCTCGTCAGTCCTCAGGGTGCGTGCGTTAAATGTTGCCAGGTCGAGTCGTCGTAGGTGGCAACCGAACCTCCACCGGAGATT